AACACTGCAATAGCTATGTCAGAGCTTGCTTTGACCATGGACATGATGACTTGGCAAATAATGTTAGCGTCCATGTTTGGATGATCCTAGTTGATCCCTCCTGCACAACATGTATGAGGGATATTGTGTCGATGAAATTTCCATGTTGAGGTTGAAGATGTTGGTAGATGAATGTCTTCCCCTTGAACTTGAAGGGATGTTGCCATATGGATTGTTCGTGGAGCCACCTCGACAAAGAACGTAAATAATTGAGGATGAATGTCTCCCCATTGAACTTAACAACATACCACGAAGAGGTGTATTTACCATTAATAATGTGAATTCATTACAGATTAATTAAGTTGTGCTATCAACTTGATCAACTTGATGAGCCAACCCATAGTGAGAGCATAATGACATACTACGAACCGCATGAACCTTAATAAATGTGGCATACATTTCTGTAATAGCTTGTGAATTTTTCATATGAGCATTAACCATCATAGCAACATCATCATCATTGAAGAGATTAGATGTTGTATATGTCAATAGAAAAACATTAGTAGAAAATCTGTACTGAAGTGAAGATAGTCTTCAAGTACTTCCAACACGAACTTTTAAGAAATTTTTTATGATTAACTCTTCAAGTGTGATGTTTCTCTTGAATGTTAAGGGGATATAATGATATGATTTGAAAATAACACCCTCTTCAAATTGTGGAATTTTTCCATCATAATAAACAACAGTAGAAATATGACCCATTTTGAGAGTCTAAGAGTTTGAGAATTTGAGAGTTTCATAGAATCAGAGTTTGATAGTTTTAAAGTATGAGTTGTTGAGAATTAAAATGAATATATCATGTTCCCATTCATGATAAGACACTGTAACATGGTAGATATTATATGAAAAAGGTAAAAACGCTTCTTGTGGAACGAGCATTTTCTTTTTGTCAGATTTATTTGCATACTTTAGTCAATTATATACATATATGATTTTTTTAGTCGGGGCATTATTCACATCAACCTCATTTATGTTTGATAGGATGAGACACTATGACATAACAGAGATTATATGAAAAAAGAAAAAACATTTCTTGTGAAACAAACCTTTCTTTTTTGTCAGATTTATCTACGTACTTCAATCAATTATATGTAAATATATCATATTCCCTTTCGGGGAACTAACTATAAATATGAAGGATATCAAGTGGTCCTCACTATTTCATTTCTTATATATCATTTTCGTTCTAATCTATGAAAAACAACTCCCACGTAGTTCAATGGTAGCTAAATACTCATTATCTTATCTTATAAAGGATATATTAACTGAGATTTTACGTAGCGTTGGTGTTAATTCTATTGAGGATTTCCTAAACCTTTGTTTAATTTGCTGGGACTTTTTCTTGTCTTCAAATTATATATTTATATTTGTAAATGTTCGACTTCATAGGTATGCTTTGAAACCTTTGGATTGTTCTGAATGGTTTCTCTTACGAAAGGCTTATATTTCAAAAAAAAAATCCAGATGCATTGTTTAGAGAAGGTACAATTGAGTGTTTTCCAAGTAATGTACCAATGTTGAAGTTGGTTGTCATATTTTGAAGCAAGCCTCTATAATGAGTGTCATTGAAGTAACTTACGCGTTAGGTATACAATTGTTTCACATAAAAGGGCGGTTGCAAGAAGGGTATCAAATGTTATACATTCTTCGCCCAATGCATATATTGATGAAGCAAAAAAGAGCTTATGTATTGTAGAAGCATCACTAACTCCACTATCCCTCAAATTATATAAGTTTTGTTCATTGAAAGGATTATAGAAATATATTGATCATATGATGACATGTTTAAAGATTGTTTTTTATTGTTTCTAGAATCGTGAAAGTATTATTGTAATAGATTTTGTTCTTAGTGGGATTAATTAAATTAAAGATGAGATTGTAATACATTTAACCATAAACATTACATTAAATCCTAAACCATAATAATTACAGTTAGGACATAAAAACAACAAATCATAAACAATACATTAAAGACATAAAAACAATAAACCTAACACAATACATTAAGGACATAAGCCTTCCATTATTCTTTATGATGCTTTAATTCTTGTAATCAGTATACTTGTCAAAAATAATATTTAGTTCTTCAATTCTCTATGATTTTTCTTGTTGTAGTTCATGTACAAATTGAAACCATGCGTCCGAGTCTCCATTGTCTACCTATGTTTCTTCATCATTTTTCTTACTTAAGTGGGATGCTCAACCTGGAAGCCACATCCTCCACCATACGAGCAAAGTCGAGATCAATAAACTCTACAAAACTAATCAACATTAGATATAGAATGATAGTAGTATGTCACAATCATATCAAAAAGATCGATATCATCGCGTAGATGAAACCTCATGCATGCATGATAGTGACAATTTATAATATAATAAAGAAATTATATTGCTTCCAAATTGAACATTTATTTCTATTTTTAACTTCAACTCGTCGAGTTAAAATCATTTAAAAGACATGCTTAAAGATTTGCAATCATAATAAAAAGTTACAGGAATAGTTGTCATCTTAGCAAAAACTCAAGCTTTGGAAGTGAAAGACTCAAAAAAATTATGTATTTTTGCTTTAAGTGAGTAAAATAGTTTTAACCTCACACATATTTATAGGCCCTAACGATTAAGATTTTAATTTTAATCTAATCCTAAACAATTTAAACAAAAAAAACCTAAATCACTTTACTCTAAAAACCATAAATCATTTTAACATAAAAATCATAACCATTTTAACCTAAAAAACCCAAATCATTTAACCCTAACCCTAAATCAATATTAAAAGACGTGTGCCCCGAAACGCGCCTTCAAAAGCGTGTCCCTTGAAACGAGTCTTCCACTGTGACGCCAAATCAGGATAAACCCATGGAAGGCGTGTCCCTTACAACGTGCCTTCCCTCAACATTAGCAAGGCACGTTTTGTGAAACACACCTCCCCTTATTCTGTCAGAAGGGTGCTAGTTCGGTACATATTTGATAAATGGTGTTGAATTTGTGTTTTTTAATATTTTGGGTGAGTTTTAGATAAAATTTTTATAAAAATATATTTTAATAAAAATTTTAAAAAATATATTAAAAATATAAAAAAAAAATTAAATTAAAAGAAATCATTCTCTCCTATTCCTCATTCTATCCTTGGTTGAGGTATTAGGAGGAGTGACAATGATAATCTCTTTATGGCTACCAACAAAATTCTTCTACCTCATTTTTGGTATCTTTTTGGAGGAATTTGGTGTTCCTCCAATAATACATTGACACCAAAACTAAATATTAAATCCTTTAATATATTTTTATCGTTAGTAAGGGGTTGTTTGTTTACTTCAGAATGATTAAGTGTTGAATGATTCAGAGGCTCTGGATGAATTAGCTCTGAATGTGACATGATGTTTGTTTACTGGCTCTGAATCATTCAGAATGTACTTCTGTACTGAATCAGTCAGCATTGAATCTTTCAGAGGTGCGAAACAAACGCGCTGAATGTTGAACGGTACAACATTCAGCGCTGAATGGTTCCATTAAGAGATAAACAAACAACCCCTAAATCCATTTCATCATCATCAAACCTTTCCTTCTTTTTGACCTTCTCTTTTTCGATCTCGACGACCGATGCAACATTACCTCTATAATGTAAGTGTAGCAACAACAGTAATACCGCCTCTAAAGGAACTGAATCCACAATGGCAAAACTATTAAAGGACTCACAATTTTTTTAAATAATATATATATATATATAATAAATTAAATTCGGTTATTTCAAAACACATGTACACAATTTTAGAATTTAAAAACTAGCTGAATATAATTTATTAAAAACAATTAACATTCATTTTTCTATTATTATTTTATTTTTAAATAAATGAAAATTTATTTTCTTTTCTCATCTCTAATCAAGATACAAAAAAAATTTGTATTTTTTCTTGTGTGGTTGTTCATCTTTTTTGAGTTAGGAGTTCAATCAAATTATTAAGTGTTCTACTTTTAATTTCATTTCAATTGAAGGTTATTTTTTCAAATATTTTTCAATTTGATTTATATTTATGATTTTATTTCAAACATCTATATTTATTATGTTTGTTCATGAATTTTTATCTCCATAATAAAAATTTAGTCATAATTCTATAAAACATTATTGTCGGTTTATTTTATTTCCTTAATTTTTTCTATAAACAAATGAATTTTAAAGATTTATAATTTTTTATTAATATGATATTTTGATATATAATTTACATTGATAAAAATACACTAAAATATTTTTTATTAATATATATATTTAAAATATCAACTCAAAAAAGAATGTAGAGTTCCTAGCATAGAGTTGCCATAAGAGCTTCCAAAATTTGCTTCTTTAACTATCATATTTCTGGGAATTTTTTGTTAAAATTTATTGATTTTGTAAGTCCTCTTAAGAAAAATGATACTTTTTTATGAATAAATTCACTAAGCTAATCATATCTGGAAGGAAGATAAATCTTCACCTCTTGAATCAGCGACTGATGCAGGGGACTGATTTCCAGTTTTTGAAATGAGAATCAAATTGAGAAAGCTTTTTCCAAATCAATATTTGTATATTTAAAACATATTATGAACATAAATAAATGTAAACCTGACTCTTTTTGGGAGACAAAAAAGGGCTAAATTCATGAAAAGTGCCAATTATTACCATAACTTTTGTTTGTATTTTAGGGTTACAAGGATTTTACAGTTTTCTTGTACATGATTTATGTAAGTTTCTACATTGATGCCCTTTTTAATGGACAATGAGTAAAAAAAAAACTCAAAAAAGGGTGAAAGTAAAACCCAACAAGTCATATTTCTTATTCTAATTGCTTTGGAGATTTGCATTGCCTGGTTATGGACAGTGGACCTTTCCAAATTGCCACTCCCAGCAACAGCTTCAAAAGCGATGAACACTCGTGTCCTAGTCTCTCTTTCCCGACTAAACCGGGTTGAGGATGTTACAGTATGTGATGACGACGTAAGCGTTCATCAATCCCCCGAGCATCGACAGCTTTTGATATTCGACAACACGCTGTCAAATATAAGCGAGACTTCATTTTGATACGGCGGGAATGGTATCGTAGGATGTTTGAAAGTGGAGACCGTCACCTATGTGTCTCGTTGTGGGGCATATCCAGCAGAAGATATTTGGGCCCAATACCTGAAACAACAAGACGGAAAACAGATGAAATTAGTGTTGAATGCACCAAGTTCACGACGTTCAATCTAGTCTCGGTCAGCTGGAGTACTAAAACTCTGCATATCAAGGCCACTTAAGATATACAGGATTGGGGATATATGAACACTCAGTGGCTACAATCTAAAGCTAACAACAAGAAAATGAGGCCTTCTCCGATCCGACAAGATAACAGTTCCGTTACTGGTGATTACCGACAATAGATTTTCATAGGTCCCGAGATCGTATGGATGCTGGTACACAGTTCCTCCTTTCTCTGCAAGGCACAGAGTTCTCACCCCTTCATGATACTGCTGAATTTCGAACAAAAACAAAAAGGAAATGTTTAGCAATTCAAGATCAGAATTGAAAATTAACAACATACGGCACATGTAACACTCTCATTACCTCAATTGTGGTCTTGTTTTGCAAAATGAGGTAGATATGCCAACCCAGCAAAACGCTTAAGGCCACACTGAATGGGAGCAGAAACAGTCCAGAAACAACCTGAAAATGCAAGTCATGAGCATAGCACTAATATGGTGAGTTCTAGCTCTATAGGGTCGATAATCATCGACGTTACATATACGGTTCTGAAAGAATCTCTCTGCTGCTCATTGATTCGGGAATCGATGTTAAGGCTACCGACAAGTAAAACCTGACAATTAAGAGAATAGAAATGACCAAACGGTTTCAAGAACTCGGTGAAAATAGATATGTTATTGTGATAGGACATACCAGAGAATAGAAGCAAGCAATTACGGCATACACAACGGAGACAAAGAAGGCCTTGTAATTGGCATGACCGACGCAATTATTAATCCAAACGCAATGGTGATCCTTATAATCAAGAAGAGAACTTTAGCACATTATCGAGGACATTCGAGTACATGCATGAATAATGATAATAACAATATAGATTGCACGTACCATTCTCAGAATGCAGCTCTTGCAAATACGGCAGTGGTGTGCACGAGGAGGCTTAAAATGAGAACACTTTTGGCAATATCTCAAGTCCCCTCCCTATGGAACATTTTAAACAAATGATTTTAACTCCAAAACACAAGTCTGTTGAAGACAATTCATTGAGTACATTCATAAGTTAGATCAAACATGAGCCACAAAGACATATGCTTAGAAGTTAGCCGTTAAACAAACAACAAAATTGAAACGGTGACACACGATGGAAATACTTCCCCTGATTATGCCAATAGATCGATGTATCAGTAGTTACAGAGTCCTCGATGAAAGCGAGTGTCATCCTAACCAGAACGATGTATGCAGCTAGCGTCAAATAGCAGATACTAAGATCAGTATAGAAACCAACCATGGTGATGCTATAATGAGTCAGAACCCTGAATGCAGGAGCAACTCAGGGGCAATAATTTATTGTGGTTTCTTCCCCAAACTCAAGAAGTAATTATGTTTTCAGTACCATAAATACAAGTTGAAAGCTTAGAGACGATGTTATTGGGAAGGAGAGTCACAAACCCTAGTTATATCTAAAAACGGACATGTTTGATAAATAAGTAGCAATACTTTTGAGAATGTATTTTGCTCATCTCCTTGTTTGGCATCTTTGCAGAACAGGAGGATTGGCCTCCTGTGAGGGTTCTATTTCTATACCAGATGTTGTTGGGCAATGGTTACTCGGATTTTCAAAGGGTATTCTTAAAACAAATACTAGTTTGGTAAGACTTGCCATTCAGCCAGACAATTACATATATGCCCCCCATCCATCTTCCTCAAAGGTTTTTTTTTTCTTTTGCATGCAATAACCCCAATATTGTTTTCTATTATTTCTAGCAAATTCAAATGGCAAACATTAACCATTTTCATAAAAAAAATAAACTTATTTAGAGGAAAAAGAAAATCACGGACGGGAAACATAAGCAACCTTACCAGACAAAGGAAAACATTGGATTTTATGACCCTACCTTGCGTTTGATCTCATGGATAGAAACTTTGGAATCTTCGATGTCGGGCATGTAAGCAGAAGGAACCCAACCGGGATCCGCCAAGATGGCAACGGCGTAATTGAACACACACATGACGGAAATACCAGTATAAACGAGGGCGTTAATCATTCCGGGGGAGGTCATTAGACCGAACCAGCGGTGAATGAAAATGAAGACCGTACAAAAGTAAACAAAAGTGATGACAGAAACAACAACAGTTACGGGGAAGGAAAAGCTGAAGCCCGGCCTCATGATTTAGCTGTTTACTATATAATGTTCGGACAAGTTGAGGATGCACCGCCGTGAAAAACGTCAGCGTTTCCGGTGCTGCTGATATCAATGTGATCTCTTTTTTTTTTTAAAAAAAAAAAAAACAAAAAGTTACGTTTTGCGGAGAAATGTTTTCCTCTTCGAAGGAATTTTGCGGAGAAATGTTTAAGCTTTTGATTTGGAGGTTGGTCTCTGTTGGGAAAAGACTGTTATATTATCATTTTGGCTTAATATAACTTTTTTCAACTTGATACTTCAAATATTTTTGGAACCACTTTAACAGCTACACTTGACATTTGTTCTCAATATGGAACCTATGCTTGATGCCATTTATTTATTTTTTTCTACTTTGATATCTCAACTTAACAATTGTTCTCAAATTATTACAATTTAATATTAACTTGGTATTTATTTATAATTGTTTAGATATTAAATTGTAAATAAATACCACTTTTGTGTCTAATTTGGGCAATTATTCTCATTTTAATGTTAGCCTGTCGAAAGTAAATGACGTTAATCATAGATACCACTTTGAGAATGATTGCCAAGATTAGACACCCAAGTGGTTAAAAATGGTTTGGATACTAAGTTGAGAAACATTATCAAGCTCAGGGGTCAATTAGCATATTAAACCTATAATTTTATACAGCTAGGATTCTTGATGGTTCAATGCCGTTAACTTTTTTTCTTTTTCTCCAATGCCCTGATTGTTCCTGTTATTTTCAGATTGACCTTACCATAAATTTGGCATTTTATTCATTTGGTTGATTCGATCCCTCCGTATAAATTGACTCTAACCCCCAAACCACAGAACCGGCCGGCCACATACGACAATATAAAGAAAATCGTCAGTTAATTTAAGGTATAGAAATGGAGCTAAGTTTAATGCCTGATTTATTCAGTTTATTTGGTTTATACAATTTATTCTGTAAGAAAATTGAGTTGGTGTTTGTTACTTCAATCCATCTTTACTTTGGGATAATCATTTTATGAATATTTGATGATAACTTCTGTAATAAAGCCTACATTTCCTTTTACAAGTCATGCAGAGACTCAGCAGTGGCTAAGCTAGTAGACAATAACATCCTGTTCACAATAAATCAAACAATCCAATGGCTCAAAATTGGACCTCCACATCACAAGCCGCAATCCAATTACATAGCTTGGCAACAATATCACAAGAACAGTGTATCAACCAGACCACACCAATTACAACGTACGTCATAATAAGAGACTTTAACCAGCCTTCCAAATCAAGAATAATACCATGAAAGAACATAGAAAATGTTACCTCAATAGCTTGCAAAGAATGAAGATGATACAAAAACATCAGGACAACTGTAACTAAAAAGTGCTGGAAATGCAATAGTTTCAGTATGTACACTCCATAAAACATCCCACACCATGTTCTGTTTTGAGTTTAGTATATCTGCTTTCTAAGATTTTGTGCACTGCTGAAGTTCTTGATTGCCTTTCTCCTACATAAACTTTATAACATAATGCATCACTGGCATACTGATTTTTACCCTTTCAAACTCACATTTACTGAAGAAGTCAATGTCTGACTGGGAAAAAAATCTTGCACCACAAGAACAGAGTGTTATGAGGGGAGGGGGGGGGGCTAAAAACCAAATTCTAAGGCAGAGTGTTCTTCAAGATAACAATTAATTTTCACTAATTAAAGCATTCATGTCGAAAGAATGTTACAAGGGAAAACAACTGACAGTAGGAAACCCTCATTGTATCAGTGAGACTAATAACAATTTGACAGGGTATTGAATGGAAAATTAAAATTATAGAATCCATCACATGGTAAGGTAATTCAAGCAAAAACTCAAAAACAGCGAAGCATACCAGTTGCTGCATGCAGATTGGCTTCCAGTCAAGAAAAACCGAATATAAACAATATCAACAACATGATCATTTGTATTAAGGACTGCAAATAAACAACAAGATTCCTGATAGAAAATTACATATAAGAAAGAAGTCAGGGCATGAATTATCATGGCAGTTTACTAATTTAACAAATTTAGGCCTAACATCAATTTATATGGGAGGAGGATGGTACCTCAGCAACCACTAAAAGGTCATACAAACCAAAAAAAGCTTCTTCTACTTCTTCCTCTTGGATGAACATACCAATTCATAAAAGCCTCTTTCAACAGAATCTAAGCTCGAGTAGTTCTTCGTTCCTTCCCCGAACGTGTTGTTATTTACATTGAGTAAAATAATACAATCTACAAACATTCCCTCCCTTGATTAAAATTGCAACATTATAGTATCAGATAAAAGGAAAACAGGTTAACTTTAAAATGTCGAAAGAATCCATTCCACAAACATTCAATCCTCGAAATTCATATTGCTATCTCTACTATATGATCTACCAAACACTGAACTTGTTCTACTTCTCCTAGTAAACCCCGAATCTGAACCTGAACGAGATGGGGAGCTCCTAAACCAACCCAAAAACGAAGCAAAACTCCGAAAAACTTGCCCCAATCCTCCACTTTCTTGTGACCTTCTCCCACTTGGCGCCCATGAAACCCTTCTAGGAGCACCTGCTGTATTATTAAACCCACCATCCATCTCAGTGAAAACAACTGGAAATTCCCTCTCCGCAGCTCTCCTCCCACCGGGAAGCCTCCCCACTGCGAACCCACCTCCCGGTAACCTCCATATTGTTAATCCCACGGCTTCTTCATCTCTAACTGTTTCGCTTTCCCCTAAGTTGTTTCCGTTATTTTCCCTTGGCAACTCGTGGCGGCAAACTGGACATGAGTTTCGAATTGAAAGCCAGGGTAAAATGCAATCCGAATGGTAAATATGCTTGCAAGGCATTTCCCGAGCTTCGCAATCTAGTTCGAACGGCTCTTTACAAACTGCACAGTGAGATTCCGTGCTTACATGTCCGCCAGTGATCTTAATCACCGACATTGATTCGATAGCCGCTTTGGAAGCCGGTGGTTGCTCGAAACGGCCAACTTCGTTTACTTCTAATTGAGATAACTGATCAAGAAGCCGGTCAAAACCCGAACCCATTAAGAACTCATACATGCTAGCAGGTAAGGGGCGAAGACCGGAACCTGATTCATCATCGTAATAAAGCTCAAAATTGGTATTCCCTCTTTCGGGAACTAAACCTTCGGATTCGGAGGTAGGTCCACGGAGAAGGACGACGGGATTGAAAGGGGACCGATCTCCAGCATTCCGTCGAGCTCGTCGGAAATGAGGAGTGGCGGTGGGGCTGGGGCTGAGGACTGGGTTAGTCGTCTCGGAGTACATAGCGGCGGCGGGGAAACGGTGGTGAATGGGAGAACGAGAGGGCGTTTCGAATTCTTCGATGAATCCGCTGCCGCAGTCGTGGCAATGGATCGAATCTTGGGGGGATCGGACCCGGAACCGGATGAAGCGGTTGCACCTGTAGCACCAATAGGGTGATCTTATCGACTCCATCGAAAAGAATTAACCCCAGAAGATTTGGAGAAATCAAAACTTTGAGATATCGGAGAAAATTTAAAAACCCTAGAATTTGAGAGAGAGAGCTTAAAAAGGAAAAGAAAGAGGGGGAGGAACGTGGGAGATATAATAAAATGGGAGGGGAGGCGCGCGTGGTGTTGAATTAAGCGTTGGATTATGCGCTTTTAATACTTTTGAAAATGGTTTAATTAACGGAATATAGTTTGCATTTGCTTAAGGGTTATTCAGTTACGGCGTTAGAGAACCAACACTGGAATTGGCTGCAGTTTTTTGCCCACTCAGTGCCCTCATTAAGGATGATTATAGTTCGTGTTCAGTTTTTTTTTCACTCTAATCTGATTCGAAAAATACATTTTTATCTTTATTTGATCTAATTTTAAGAATATTTTATTTGATTTAAAATTTAACCTGATTTTCAATTATAAATTCAAATCCGATTTAATATATAAATATATAAAAGATAATTTTATTAAGTAAATTTAGAACCTAATTGAAAAAATATATATTAGAAAAATATATTATTTTAATTATCTCTAAATATATTAAAAAATATATATTATTATATTATTATATCAAACTAACATTTTTATCCTAAATTCAAACTCAACCTAACTGGATTATATCTTTTTTTTCTTTTATTTAATTGGATACTTGAATCAATAAAATCAATGTTTTTAAAATCAGACCGAACCTTAAACCGGTGAATATACTGGTTCAACTGGGTTAAACCGAGGTTGAATCGGTTTATATAAAATAATATTTTTTTTAAAATTTTACATAATATTCAAAGCAATATATATATATATATATATATAACACTCTTTTTAAGTTTACAATATTAAAATGTATAAAAATATCACAAGTCATAACATATATAAGTTAAATATCATAATATCAAGTGAAACAAAATGATTCAAATCAACTACAACATAATATTTAAGGTCAATACCTAATGAAATTCATCAACAACTAAATAAAAAAAGTACATAATTGATACAAGTATCAATCATCATAATATTAATTGAAATTGATTCCCTCAAATTCAAAAATATTGGGAAAAGCTTATTCATTAGTTGAACTACCACCACCACCATCATTTTGAACTTGAAACTCCATAGCATCACTTTGAACTTGAAAGTCCACAGCATCAATATCTTCATCGCCTAGCAATATGATAAATAAATACAAAGTTAAATTTAAATTCTTAAACAATACTTAACAATTAAAAGTAAAAGTATAAAACATATTAAATAATAAATATAATTATATAATTAAAGTGGAAAAGAGATAGGGTTCACCGCTTACAAACGTTCGTGAAAATAGCTTAACTCAGATGCAAAATTAGAAAATAAATTTGGGACTGAAAAAAATCATAACAAACAATGTTGTTTGGTTTATTTTTAAAAAAAAATAGAACCGCTTGAACCGCCAGTTCACACTGATTCCCAACCGGTTCTATCGATTCTTTAGCAGTTCATTGCAAAACTAGTTTTAGAGGCTGATCGAATCGGACAGGTAACCTGTTTCCGATTCAACTGGTCGAACCGGCTAGTCCGATCCAGTTTTGATAACATTGAATAAAACACATAAGTGTATCTTTTGATTGATCTTCATCAATATTGTTTTTGACATAACAATCAATGCATTAAAGTTAATGTAGTAGATGAGTTAGATTTTTTCTTTGAGAATTTATTTAATTTTTTTTATAAATTTAAGTGTTTATTTAATTCTCAAGCAAAAATATATATATAAAGACATACAGAACATTAAAAAATAAAAACTATTAAAAATATAAAATAAATTAAAAATCATAAAATAAAAAATTCAAAAATTATTTAAAATATTAAATAGTTGAAAATTCATTAAAATAGTACACGTTAAAATATCCAAGAAAATATAAAAATATTTTAAAAATGTAAAAAATATAATTTAAAATATTAACTTCTTTATTAGATAATTCTTTGCTTTACAACGCAACATACACTAAAGCGAAATATCAAAACATACCACTAGATAAATTATTTTTATTACGTAAATATTAAAAGAATAAATTATATATTTAGCACTTACACTATCATTTTCATTTTGTTTTAGTACCTAAACTTTATTTTTTAAACCATTAACAATAATAACAAAATCTGTAACATATTTCTTTAGTCGTATATTAAGGTTATCGTACTATACAACTTTTCAAGTTTAGTAATCTTCATTAAAGCACAAATTAATGTGGTATTTCACTTGTGAAAGAACCAACCAATCGAGTATACTATTACTATCCCAGAAAAAGAAAGAAAAATACCTAATCAATAATTATGAAAAACCAACACCTTCATTGGTTTCATCATAACCAAAAACAACCATCACCATGCCTCTCCCGCCGATTCTCGTGCCTATATATATATAACTCAACCCTACCAAAACTTCCACGATCGAAGCCTCCGTTTTCTCCAAATCGGAGAAATGCAATGTCTGTAACAACAAAACCGTCGGTGTAACAACCCGAAAAAAAAAAATTTAAATTGGTGTAATTTGTGAAATTTAGTGACTAAATTAAAATTTATAAAAATTTATAAGTCATTTTAGAAGTTGAAGAAAATTCAGGGACCAAGCCCTGAATTCCTCCAAGAAATGTCGGCAGGTTTGATTATAAACCAAACGTGTTTTCTGATTTCAAAATCAGAAAACACAAGCAATTACTCAAATTTCCTCCTCCCGTACATCTACTTTCAAGCCTGATTCCGACCTCTAATCGTAAAATTGAAACCACCATTATGTTCATCTTTGACCGGTGATCAAAACCAGTAAACCAATTATAGCGAAACGCTGCCAAACGAAGTGAATTTTGAGTCAAAGTCTCGACGTTTTATTAGCACCACCGCGGGGAAAATCTTAAATTCATCTCCGATCGTTGATCGATTTTCGACACCTCCCACACCATCGTGTTCCTTGTGTCGTTCCGAGTCCGACGGTGTTCTCCTTATCTCCGTAGGCGGCAGCGCGTGAGGGAGGTGGAGCGGTCAAAGTTCCGATCGAAGTGAAATCGAGCTCTTCACTGTTCAAAAATTTGAACCGAGGTTGGTAAGTGACTCAAAATCGCTTAAAAGAATTTTTAGAAATTTTTGTAGGAATTTTTGGAGACCGGAGGCAGTTTCACGCGCCGCCTCTGCGCGTGGGGAAGATTCGAAATGGGGGTTTATATATGTTGACCGGCTTGACCGCTCTGAACCGATCCGACCCGACCCGTTGACCGACACGACCCGTTGGCTGACCCGACCCGTTGACCCGACCCGGTGATATTTTGGGAATTATTTTGAAAAAAGTGTCATTTTGGGAATTATTTTGAAAAAAATGTGACATTTTGGGAATTTTTAAAAAACATTGACATTAGGTAATTATTTTTAAAATGATGACATTCTGGGAATTATTTGTAAAATGATGATATTTTAGTAGTTGTTTTTAATAAAGGTGATATTTTTGTACTTCGAATGTGGACTATTGAACCCCTCTCACTATAACTTTGACCGGCTTTAAACGACCATTAAACGACCTTTGATTTTGTTCGAGTATACCTATTCTAACATTTTTCGACGTGCTAAATCTGTTTCAGAAGTCTGTTTCGCCAAATTCGAATCGGAAGGCCTCCAAATCATCAGTCAAACCCGTTGACTTTGATTTTGACAAAGAATTTGAATTTTCGAAAAGTCATACTTTATGTTTTTTCGACGCCCTGATTCCGATTCCGCACTCCGTTTGGTCAAATTCAGACTCAAAAGCTTTCAAATTGATAGTCAAACCCAAAAAATTATTATGTACTATAGAGTTTAAGCTTTGAATGGTTGGGTAAGACTTGGGACTGATAAATTATTAATGTTTGAAGCTACAAGAGACTCTCCTGACCGTTCGACAGCTCGACCCAGCTCCTCTAGATCAGTTAATCCGTGTATGCCAGTATTCACCCGTAAGACCCGTAAATTTTATGATTTCAAAAATTAATTTTGTTACCCATTAGTAATATAGTATTATTATGGATTAGGTTCGAAAACAGTAGCAGAGCATGGCGAGGCCAACAATCATTAGATCTACTATTTGAACCTATTGTCGAGGTGTGTTCCCTGTGTACTACTTGATTGTTGTATATGCTTTGAAATATGGTACATTGAAAGTTATGGTTTAATGTTTTATTAATCCACCTATTTACTGGTGATAGTTTATGGAATATGACTGATATATGATTATTGGTTTTCATTGGTATATGATAATATTGATTATGGAATTATGGAAATTATGCTTACTGCATAAATAGTATTTTTAAATACTGATTTTTGGGTTGGATTGCATTACGGAGGTACAACTTTGATCAAGCTGGTAAACCTTATAGACCTAATGTGACTCTTGGGTAGGCTCACGGGCCTCAAGATACTTCATTAGGTTGGCTCCCTTTGTTGCGTGCTTAGGGTAAGCCCTACGGACTTACGGACTTAAGGATACAGGCCCCAAAGCCTATTTTTAGGTTGGTTTCCTTTCTGCTGTGTGCTTAAGGTAAGCCCTATGGATGCAGTTCTGGGGAATTACGGATGGTGTACATGAGAAGGGTTTTAAATTACGATTTTCAAAAGTTAAACTTCATTATGGTTTGATGATGAATTTATGAACTATTACTCAATTATTGTACCTACTATGATTTTATTGTACTATTGGGACACACTGAGCCTAGCTCACTTTTCGAAAATATTTTCCCCTTTCAGATACTGTTGGTTAGATACTCGGATCAAGCACTTAGAGGATCAACATATCTCTTGAAGTATACCGTATTATAATGTTTTATCTTTTAAGTTGACTCTATTATGGTAACATGGGCCTTATTTTAAAAGTATTATATTTTATAATGAGTACTCCTTTTGCTAATTTATATTGGTTTATTGTAATTTGGATTTTTAAAGACATGTTTTAATTAACTTGTTATTTTTCTCATAATTATGAGTTGATTTTTTTTATAGTATAATTTATTATAATTTCATAAATGTCATTTATAAATATGATTTTACGTTGATAGAATAACGGTTTCGAAAAAATGTCTTTAAGACTCATGAATGTGATCCACTAGACTTAGTCGAAAC